CGACATGGTACCCCTTACGTTTTTTTTTTTTGGGCGAAAATTAAGTTTCTCCAATCTTCCCAAATCTGGTTCTGATAGAGGGCCATGAGACTTAGACCTGAGTGCAAAAATGGAGGCTCTAGCCCCTTCCAGAGCTGAGATATCGAAACTCAAAAATTCGGCCCGAAAAAAAAAAACGACAGTGGTACCCTTACGTTTTTTTTTTGGGGGGAAAAATTAAGTTCTCCAATCTTTCACAATTCTGATAGAGGGCCATGAGACTTAGACCTGAGTGCAAAAATGGAGGCTCTAGCCCTTCCAGAGCTGAGATATCGAAACTCAAAAATTCGGCCGAAAAAAAACCGACAGTGGTACCCTTACGTTTTTTTTTGGGCGAAAATTAAGTTTCTCTCCAATCTTCCAAATTCTGATAGAGGGCCATGAGACTTAGACCTGAGTGCAAAAATGGAGGCTCTAGCCCCTTCAGAGCTGAGATATCGAAACTCAAAAATTCGGCCCGAAAAAAAAAACGACAGTGGTACCCTTACGTTTTTTTTTTGGCGAAAAATTAAGTTTCTCCAATCTTCCCAAATTCTGATAGAGGGCCATGAGACTTGACCTGAGTGCAAAAATGGAGGCTCTAGCCCTTCCAGAGCTGAGATATCGAAACTCAAAAATTCGGCCCGAAAAAAAAAACGACAGTGGTACCCTTACGTTTTTTTTTTGGGGCAAAAATTAAGTTTCTCCAATCTTCCAAATTCTGATAGAGGGCCATGAGACTTAGACCTGAGTGCAAAAATGGAGGCTCTAGCCCCTTCCAGAGCTGAGATATCGAAACTAAAAATTCGGCCCGAAAAAAAAACGACAGTGGTACCCTTACGTTTTTTTTTTGGGCGAAAAATTAAGTTTCTCCAATCTTCCCAAATTCTGATAGAGGGCCATGAGACTTAGACCTGAGTGCAAAAATGGAGGCTCTAGCCCTTCCAGAGCTGAGATATCGAAACTCAAAATTCGGCCCGAAAAAAAAACGACAGTGGTACCCCTTACGTTTTTTTTTTTGCGAAAAATTAAGTTTCTCCAATCTTCCAAATCTGATAGAGGGCCATGAGACTTAGACCTGAGTGCAAAAATGGAGGCTCTAGCCCCTTCCAGAGCTGAGATATCGAAACTCAAAAATTCGGCCCGAAAAAAAAACGACAGTGGTACCCCTTACGTTTTTTTTTTTGGGCGAAAAATTAAGTTTCTCCAATCTTCCAAATTCTGATAGAGGCCATGAGACTTAGACCTGAGTGCAAAAATGGAGGCTCTAACCCTTCCAGAGCTGAGATATCGAAACTCAAAATTCGGCCCGAAAAAAAACGACAGTGGTACCCCTTACGTTTTTTTTTTTTTGGGGCGAAAATTAAGTTTCTCCAATCTTCCCAAAGTCTGATAGAGGGCCATGAGACTTAGACCTGAGTGCAAAAATGGAGGCTCTAGCCCCTTCCAGAGCTGAGATATCGAAACTCAAAAATTCGGCCCGAAAAAAAACGACAGTGGTACCCCTTACGTTTTTTTTTGGGGGGGCGAAAAATTAAGTTTCTCCAATCTTCCCAAAGTCTGATAGAGGGCCATGAGACTTAGACCTGAGTGCAAAAATGGAGGCTCTAGCCCTTCCAGAGCTGAGATTTCGAAACTCAAAAATTCGGCCCGAAAAAAAAACGACAGTGGTACCCCCTTACGTTTTTTTTTTGGGGCGAAAAATTAAGTTTCTCCAATCTTCCCCAATTCTGATAGAGGGCCATGAGACTTAGACCTGAGTGCAAAAATGGAGGCTCTAGCCCCTTCCAGAGCTGAGATATCGAAACTCAAAAATTCGGCCCGAAAAAAAAACGACAGTGGTACCCCTTACGTTTTTTTTTTTGGGTGAAAAATTAAGTTTCTCCAATCTTCCCAAAACTCTGGATTCTGATAGAGGGCCATGAGACTTAGACCTGAGTGCAAAAATGGAGGCTCTAGACCCCTTCCAGAGCTGAGATATCGAAACTCAAAAATTCGGCCTGAAAAAAAAACGACAGTTGTACCCCTTACGTTTTTTTTTTTTCGGGTGAAAAATTAAGTTTCTCCAATCTTCTCAAAACTCTGGATTCTGATAGAGGGCCATGAGACTTAAACCTGAGTGCAAAAATGGAGGCTCTAGACCCTTCCAGAGCTGAGATAATATGAAGAGTTCGGATGCAAAAGCCTCTAAGTGCCATTTGAAATTTTCTCCTAGAATGATCATTTTTATCAAGCTTGTATATTTAAGTTCAGTAATTTCACTTAAATGACAATTAATGGGTAATATTCATTGAAATTTAAGTGAAATTACTGAACTTAAATATGCAGGCTTGATAAAAATGATCATTCAAGAAGAAAATTTCAAATGGCACTTAGAGGCTTTTGCATCTGAACTCTCATATGCATCCTAAAAAGGTCCCTTGGCCTTTGGAATTAAAATATCCCCACACCATTCACCATGCCTGGAGATTGGCATGGTTTTGTAAATCCAGGAGACAATCTGTAATTATGACAAGAAATCTGTTCTAGATCTGTTCTATCTTTATATTGGGACACTGTGGACTTGCATGGGATCTAGCGAAGATTGGCAAACATGAAGATGGACTTTGTAGAATCTGCAATCAGCAACAGACTGTTAATCATGTGTTTATGGAATGTCAGCAGTATAAAAGGCAAAGAGAACAACTTTATTCTGTGATATCAGGAGATATTACAAGCAGTGACACTGAGAGATATTTTGAATCCTCATGAGAACCAATTAAGGATAGTGGAAGCCGTCATGAATTTTATATCGGCAACAGGATTAGCCCTATATATGAGAATGATGGAAATATAAAGCGATACCGAGACTGAACTGTGGGAGGCAGCAATATGCCGTAAGGCATCTAGTCTGCCGGAAAGCCAGAAGAAGAAGAAGAAGAAGAAGAAGAAGAACGAACGAACGATACTCCACGTTGATTGCGATTCCAAATGGTGAGTAAAAATGGTTGTGTAGTTTTATATAAACATATTTAAAAATGTACCATGATGTTCGTGAATCAAATCTGGAATAGTTTCATTCTGAAAGAATGTCATGAATAAAGACACAGGTAATTGAATCTTGAAGAACTTGCTCTGTTATACAATAACAATATGTTTCGTTTTTTTAAAGCTATGTTTATTTATGTTAATTATGTTTATTTTAGATCGAGAGCAATAAATTACTGAATTGTTAAAGTTTGAATGGATTAATAATTTCTAATTTTTTTATGAATAATTGTTGATTGTGTAGTGGGTCTGAGCGTACAGCACGAGGAAGCACCTGCAGCTCGGTAGCACAGAGGTTTGGAGCTGAATCCTGCATTAGAGAGAGCCCTGCATTGAAAGTGGAGATGTTTTGTGATACAGCAAGATCCCACATCGACAACTTCCGCTTCTTCAAACAGAGGTTAGACTTCTTGACAAAAAGAGTATCACATATTTTTTTGGCATAATCCTTTCCATGTAGAGTAATCTGGTAATATCTTTATTGCTTTATAAGGATCTCTTCCAAACATGGAGACCAAAAACCAAATGGATAATAGGAAACAAGCCAGCAGTTGCACCTGAATCTGAACTTAAGTGTGGAAATGTCAAGAGTTCTACAGGTAACCGACTTGTGAACTTGTACTTCTTAGGGTTGCAGTGGTATGAGATTTTCACAGTACAAAAGCAGTTTCAGAAATGATCATGGTTTAATGGTATATGGTCCTGCTCAATCAAATGTGAGAGTCATTTTTAAATATATTATATTTTTAAAAATAGTTTGCCATTGGATCATTTTTTACTCCTACTCCAATAACAATAAATATTATTTCTATAAGTCCTTTTATTTTAGTACAGCTTTTGGATATTCTGCCCACCTCTGCTGTCACACCACATAGCCTTGATTTTCAAAACTACATTTACTGTTTGAATTGTGTGATAAAAGTGACATAATTTGAGACTTTTTGCTTTATTTTTGACTAGATACAAAGCTCATCACAGTTTACATCTGTAAACTGTGGATGGAAGGGATAGTGTTTAGTTGGGCAACTACTGAAAATAGCATAGGCTAAAACATTGATCTCGGGATTTAAGATTTGATATAGGGCAATAGTACATTACAGTACTGTAAATAATCAAATGTGTGAGATATAACTCTTTTAAGCATGAAACTGGCATACTGCTGCAACCCTAATATAATATACTGTATAAAAGTTAGTATGCATAGTGGTCTTAAAACATTAGTCACATTTAAAGTGCTGTAGTAAAGACTGAACTTTAAACATGTTGTTACATACTGATGGTAGGTTAAATTTTAATTGTTATTGTAATTAATACCCTGCTCATTTTCTTGCACTTTGTGAATTGTAACAGTACACTCTATACATGGCTTTGGGGCTCCGATTTGATTTTACATGTCATTACCTCATTACATATTTCACGTTAAACAGACATGCGTAATTGTTTGCTATTATTATTTTAAAAAATTCAGGATGACATGCCCCTGATCAGGAGGTAGTGGTGTGCTCTCATACTGGACAACTTCACTCTGCATGTAGCTGTTTGCATGTTCCTACATTAAACATTAGTTTATGTACTACATCTACCAATGTACTTGCCTACCTCTTGTCATTTGTTTTTCTTAGCACTTTATTCAGAGCATGCAGTTATGACAACAGGTTTGTCTGAACCAAGGTTTATATTTTTTTCAACAACATTTATATACAAGTATAAATAAAAATGTTTTTTGTTTCAACAGCTTCCCCCATGAAATAATAGCAACTGGTGATTCTGCATATTTGACGCTTTCACTGGTATGCAGATGGTTTAGGGATGTGGTCACAAATGAAATTTTCCAGAAAGCAGCACACTTTGCCTGGCTAGACAGTAAGATGTTTTTTTCTGTTCAATGCACATTTCTTGGATTGAAATTTGTGGTATGTGACATTTAAACTTGAATCTCCACACTGTATTTTGTCTTTACATTTTAAGGTGTGGTCAACTGGAAAAAAATTTCTCCGGACTACTGTGATGAGTTTCGCCGGATCTACAGCTTCAGGGAATGCTTGGAGCTTTTCAAGTCCTATCCGCCGGGGTACAGGGGAAGAGGAAGACGAGGGGAACTGCTGGGCTTTTACTCCGAGGATCTTTGTACAGGATTTTGCTCGCAGGACTGTTTTTTTTTTTTTTTTTTTTTTTGCTGCAGGAAATGAATTTCTGTAAAACTCAAAACTTGTAGATGGGAATTGAGAGATGAACTGGTTTTGATGTAGTAATTGATGCAACTAAAAGTTAAACTTAAAGGTCAAACTTGAAAAATTAGAATATTGTGCAAAAGTTCATGTTCAGTAATTCAAATTAAAAGGTGAAACTAATATATTTAGTATAAATAACTATATATGCATATGGCATAATTATATATACTTTTCAGAGGGCTTACATTTTTGTAATATTCTGATTTTGTGAGATTTTGAATTTGATGTTCATCAAAATTATAACTTTTGCACGATATTACAATTTTTCGAGTTTCACCTGTATAGTGTTCTATTGAAAAGCTATGGCAAAAACATAGGTTTCACTAATTGTGCATATGGTAAAGTACCTTGGTTCTTTAAGGTTTGCATAAATTCCATTCTGCTGATGCATAAGTGCAGTTTGGAGTCTATAATAAAGAAAAAGTGACAAAGTCTTTGTTTTGTTGTGTTCTTAAAGAGCATGTATAGAAACTCCCTAATAAGTTTATTATAGTACAACCATAGTTATTGATTACATTTATGTAAACGCACAAATACTATAATTACCATAGTTAATTTGTGATTACCATGGCTTTTTGGAGCTACTGTATGATCAGTGAAGTTTAACAGCCGTAAATGTAGTTTAAAACAAAAAATGTTCGTTACGGAAACTCGTGGTTACTGGTGACATGTCCGCTATAGTTTTCTCTCTCTCTATCTCTCTCTATAGAGAGAGAGCGAGATGTCATTAACTTACAAAAAAAGCAGTGACTAATGCAGAGGCAGAGGTAACGGACCATCTAACTTACTACAGCTGTTGAGGGAGTGATTGTGAATTAGACCATTATTTCTATTCTCTTTGTATTTCTACTTCAATGGAATATTGTGGAATCGCATTAATGGCCGCCGGCCCACTTCTCTGCACCAATAATCTGTAATAGCGTCACACTTCTCTGCACCAATAAGATCATCTTTATTATAAACCAATAAACGTTAAGGTGGGCGGGGCGACACGTGTGACATTATCAACGCGTATTTCACGCGTATTTTACGCGTATTTCACGTGTATTTTAAAATACGCGTGACGTATTTAGAAATTTATATTCCACGCGTAAAATACGCGTGAAATAATGTATTTAGAAATTCAAAAATCAGTATGAATGGGTCGGTGTCATTGGCTGCTGAAGACTTAGGTCTAACATTTCTGTGAGCTTAGAGGGGTGTACCTTTCATAGACTAGGCTACCACCAGTTTACATTCTATAGATCAGCTTATTCCGTTGTGTGTGTGTGTGTGTGTGTGTGTGTGTGTATAACCTATATGAATAATATATTTAAATAGCGGTTTTATGACAATTTAGATAAAAATAAAATTAACTTGTTTTTCTCCACTCATGCCTTTTTGTACATAAGCAGATTAGTTCATAGAATTATTACACAGTTATTTTTTGCAATTAATTTAATTTGTACATTTCAATTTAAGTTGTTATAATACTTTGTTTTTATTGATGTCTTCACTATACTATGTGTTACAAGCTTTGGCAATATTGTAATATGTACAGTCATGCCAATAAAGCAATTTGAATTGAATTGAATTAGTGGACATTCTAGCTTTAACATCAAAGCATTAACGTGTGTGGGGAAGTCAGTTACAGTGGAGGTAACCAATGCAGGTTTATGATCACAGCAGGTTTAAGATAGCCTACCACTGTAATCAATAACTGTCTTTGGAAAACAACGTGAGCTTTTGTTGTGCTTACATTTACAGCTAAAGCAAGCAGGGGGCGCTTATTCAAACTTTTTTGTTCTGAAACAAGGCACTCAGACAAACTGTAATTAGGTATACACGTGATATTATCAATTTAAAGAAATGTAATGGCTTAACATATTTAAATAGGGTATTTAAGGCTTTCATGATTAGAATGGGAGCTTGTGCTCAGGTGGCTCAACCAGACTTCTCAAATTGAGACGCCTTCTTTCCAAAGCCTGTCAAGAAAGCACAGTAAAATATATCAGTCTATAGCCCTACTAGTTTAACATGGAGGTGGGGTAATGTAATTTTACCCCAGGATGTCTGTAATAATAATGGACAATTTGCAAGGGATAAGAAATCTCAGTAAAACTAGCAGAAGTGCAGGAGTAACTCGATTTACACACCACTGTCACTCCCTTTCATCAGTGTATTACATTGCTTTCTAAAATCATGTTGTGCGCAAACAAAAATATAACCTATTTAGCCTACAAATAAAACAGTTGGGTACAGTCGGATATATTAAGTAAACTCAGATTGTATATTATGTTGGTAATAATCTTTTGTTTAACGCTAAAATAAGTTTTGTGCCTCTAAAAAGTGCTTTTGAGCTTCTTTTTGATCTGAATGGTGTGAGTAAAACACTTGAGTTTTGCCATAGACTTGTCCCACCACCTAGAAGCAACAATGCTTTTTCAAGCACCTCCATACTTAAGAAACCGTGGAAAACTACTTTTAAACAGGAAATAATTAAATATGTACGTACATATTTACAGTTGGTCTATTTGCTCAGGATTAGTATTACCTGAGGTTATTTTTTCTGACAATTTTACTGAAGGTCTGACATCGTCTAATGATTACTGCGATGCGCATTCGAACCTAAAATCATAGAGAGGCTCTGCTAATTATTACTTTACCCCACCTCTCCATTTTAAGTCGAATAGGGCTTATAATTGGTTAAATTAAACAACAAATGAGTCGCATGCCTCTTTGCGTCTGTTCTCCATATCTGCTTCTCTGCGTTGTGCCTGGTCCTGTGGGTGAGTTTAAAAAAATGGCCAAATTCACATGCAATCACATGAATTCATGTATAACAAGTAACATGTATAGAAAAACGTTATAAATACTGTAATTGCTTACTCTTTCTTGGTCAGCTCGCAGACTTGAAAGGTATTCCTCGTCTTGACTTGCATGAAGTGCACGCCACTCAAGCAAATCCTACAAGCAACATTAAGAATATAGGAGCATTCAGTTAACTTGATTTACATTAATCTTCAATATTTTATACATTTTTATAGCATTTTAATTAGCATAGCCCCTAGTATTAAACTAAAGCCCTATTCGCACGGGATTAGTATTATCTGGTTAGAGCATCCTGATACCCTGGGAGAGAGACTGACTGGGGAGAGATAGAGATTTCCCAGAGATGGGATCTGTAAAACTTTCACACAAAGAGATAAAGGGAATGGAAGGGGGAAGTATTTCCATGGCAGGGTCTATGTGGCTTAAATCCAGAGCATAAAATGTGCCAGCTGTGTGTGTGTAAAATGGAAATGAAATGGCTATGGAAAAGCTAATGGTACTATATAAATAGCTGCTTGCCTCAATCACTCCAACAATTCCTCTGTCATCCCTCCATCACCATCCCTTCCTCTCTATAACTTGGTCCCAAGGGGAACCAGGAAGTCACTCCTGTCTACCTTTTCCATATTTCTGAAATACGTTTGACAAATTATTCTAATTATTAATTAATTACCATTTATGGATGCATTTTTTTAAAATCCTGGTTATTCTTATTATCAATGATGAAAACAGCTGGGATCATTTTCTTCAGGATTATTTGATGTTCAAATGAGTATCATTAATGTGAAATATAAATCTTTTGCAACATTATACGTGTTTTTACTGTTACTTTTAATCAATGACAATCAAATGACAATTTAGACAACTTTACAGCTCAAAATACTGTAGATATTTTTCAAAATGTAAGGAGTCTAAGGAGGACTTTAAAAATCCTGCTGCCATTGTGTGATGTTCGTTGACTTAAAGTAATTGAAAACAATTTTCTGTGGTGTCATCGATGTTGTGCCACAAATGGTGCTGCTTTGTATCGTTTAAGAACAATCTTTGACGTCTGTGGAATGTGAATGATCGATCGTTCTTCTGTCTTATACGAGTTCCTCTTTGACTGTGTGCATTACCTCAAAGCAGCAGACTGGAAGTGGCCTCGGGCAGGCCGACGCCCACACTTCCCATTTCCTCCTATAGAAACGCAGGGATCACCCAACAACTGTTTCTGGGGAAGCTCCTGTTTGGCAGCTTCCAGTGCCACTCCCAATCTGTGAATAAACAGAACTTTTCTGAGTCTGACTAATGGGCGTCTGAAGACCCCCAACCCTACAACGAATCCTTTTCCGCTTCATCCTGCTCTTTCCTTCCTCCTGCGACCTTCCTCAGACATTATACACTTGAAGTCTTGAATGTATGCTAAACACTCCTTTTGGGTCACAATGATCTCTTAAATTCAGGGACTGGCTAATAATAACACAGACCAACTGCATCCTTCTTTTCAGACATACCCAGACCAGGACAGGGACCCATCAAAAGTGACCCAACCCAACGAGGGAGCCACATTGTCAGGAAGAGGGCTGGTGTAAATCTCCTGTCCTGGCTCCATCACCTCAGCATGAGGCTCTACAGTAGCATTCTGAAATAATCTTTAGGCTTTGGGGTATCAGTCCAGAGGCAGATAGATGATCCTTCTACAGGTCAAAGGTCATATCTAAACACCTACACACTGATTGTTTACTTGGAAAAGTTAAGAGTCTGTTCCACCACTGTTCTTGGTAAATGTCTTGAAATAGTCACCTCATCTCATAATGCATCACAATAATGGCACTTTCTGCCAACACCATTAGTGAAATGGTAAAATCCCTTCAATAATCTTTTGTTAGTCACATAATGCAAGATACATTTACATAAAAATGTACTCAAGGACATTTGTGTTAAATTGTCAGGGTTTTTTAGTGTAGACTCAAAGTTGTGGAGGACTCAGAGTGCTGCTTAAAAAAATTTATTCATGTTAGTCAAATGTACATTTTGCACTCAAACAGATAAAAAGTAATCTGTGAATGCTTTATAAAAATCTGATATAAAAGTTATTGTTTTTTGATAGCACTCCTAGTCATCCATACAAAGGGCCTCATTCAAGGCATGTATCATTAATAATGCTCATATTAAGGATTTCAACTAATTAAATTAGGACTTTTGCTGGGCAGATGATAAAGGTGAAAAACCCTATAGACCTGCATTGAAGGAGGCATATCTATGGACTAGAATATCACAGAGACTTGCAGGTGGTCTCTTTTTAATTGGACCAATTGGAAAACACCCAGCAAAAAAGCCCTAGCAGCGTCTTTTAAAGAGCAAACATCTTTTTTCAGAATATCTAAAAAATATAGTTTCACTAGATAAGCTGTCTAATGCTCCTCTAAACTATGTATAAACAAGATATGTTTCCACAATAATCAAAAGGTTGCATACATGCTGTGCAGGATCTAGTAGACCTGGTGTATAGACTACTGATCTGACTGCCTGTCTGTTTTAAACATGTCGAACAAATGCTTTGGCGTGGAAAAAGAGTTATAAATAAACAAAGGATTTGTGAAGAGTGGTACTGTCAGCAGGAGATGAGAAAAATAAACTA